CTGCTGTCCCTGCTCAGCCTGGCACCGCTGGTGGAGCGCTCTGTCCCACTTTCCTCCCTTCCCTGCCCTTTCTTCTGCTGCAGAGGCTGCTGAAAATCATGGGCATTCGGCGCAGAACACCCAGGACCACCCCAGCTGAGCTCATGGCAGAGCCTGACACCAGGCCAGCTGAGCTCAAGGAGAGGCCTGATGGCAGCCCCGCGCCCATTGATCTGACGGCAACCTCTGACACTGCTGTGACTGAGGACACGGCCAACCCTGACACCCCACTGGCCGATGTCCCTGCCAAGGCTGATACTGAACTGACTGATTCCACAGCAGAGACTGACATTGCTTTGGCTGATGACAGAACCAGCTGTGACAGAGTAGCAACTGGTGTCTTGGACAAGGCTGACATGGTGCCTATTGGAGGCACCTCACACCCTGATGTGGTACCGATGGAAGGCACAACAAAACCTGACATCACTTTGGCTGGTGACACAACCAGCTCTGACACCGCTGCGACTGATGTCATGGCCAAGGCTGACATGGTGCCTATTGAAGGCACCTCACACCCGGACATGGCACCAACTCATTGCACAGCTGAGCCTGACACCACATTGGCTGGTGACACAATGGGCTCTGACACCACAGCTACTGATGTCATGGCCAAGGCTGACATGGTGCCTATTGATGGCACCTCACAGTCTGATGTGGCACTGATGGACGACACAGCAGAGCCTGACACCACATTGGCTGGTGACATGGACCTCATGGAACAGGCTGACATCGCACCAATGCCGAGTGACGGCACATCAAGCTCTGCTGAGGCATTGGTGGATGACACAGCAAACTCTGAGACTGCCTTCGCTGATTTGACAACCAAGGCTGAAACAACAACAAGTGACCTCATGGCAGAGGGTGACACCACCACTGAGAACATCGGAAATGCTGACACCATGCCCACAGAGAGTGTCTCCAATGTGCAGCATGTAAGTTTAAGTCCCCCAGTATTCTTGTGGCCTCTCCAGCAGGATCCACTGGTCCCCTAAGGCTTTGAGGCCAGCAGAGTGTGGTGGGAAGGGAAGCCCTTCACTTGAGGGAAACTGGGCAACCTGCTCACTGTGGCAGCTCTCCAACTCTCCCCCACTGCCTCTCCAGGTGCCGGCCATCATTTGGAACATCCACCACGACCTCACGTTCCACGTGTCTCTGCGCAGTAACATGCACAGGCTCGCTGAGGCAAACCCACGTGACGTGGTGATGACTCTGCTGCGCTGTGCCCCAGAGTGTGACAGGTACAGGGCCCGGCTGCCTGGGTGGCTCAGGCCTCACCAGCCCTTAGAACCCATCACCATGTAGAGCCCGTTCCATGTGGTCTGCCAGAGAAATGGAAAGTTTCAGAACCCTCTGACCCCTCCATTTCCCAGCCCTGGCCTGTCAGCCCCCGATCCTGCTGCCACGTGCCCTCCCTATCCCTCAAGGACTGGTTGCTCTGTCACCTCGGCCCCCACAGCTGTCCAGACCACAGTGCCTTGGCTGAGACCTCCCTGACTCAGAGTCGTGTCTCCACAGAGCTGCTAAAATGATGTGGAAGAGCATTGCCTCCTCGGGAACAGCAGTGGAGAAGGTGCTGCCGCCACTGCTGCGAGTGATGGAGGATTGGCCAGTGCACAGTGTGTCCACCTCCGACGGCGATGACAGAGACGTCTTTGCCCTGGCTGTGAGTTTTTAGAAGTGGCCTCTGCTCCTCCCACGTTGCCTCTCCAGAGACTCTCCCTCTTCCTTCACCATTGCCTGAGGCATTGGGCTGCACATGTGGCTGAGGGGCAGGTTCAGGGACACCAGAGAGGCTGTTCCCCCTGGGTCTGCCCTGGCTTCTCCCTCCCATGCTCGGGCCCTGCCACGTGGACCTGTTGCACTGAGCGCTGTCTCTGCATGGTTGTATTGCAGGCAAGCCTGGCACTGTGGCTGATCCTGCAGGAGCCCAAGTGCCAGGATGCAGTGAAGAATTATGTCCCCCGCCTGGTCATGGCTCTGCTGTTTCAAGTGTCCATGAGCACAGAGCAGATGCCAGAGGAGGTGAACACCTTCTGGACGAGATGCCAGCAGAGTCACCACCTTCCCAGTCACCCCAACAGGTGCTCCATTCCAGTCCTCTCTCCCTCCCATGCCCTCGGGGCTGGGGCCAGGGCTCCCAGCATGACTTTGGCTTTGCTCTGCACACAGGTTTTTGGTACAGACCATCAAAGACCTGCTCTGCCATCTGCAGTGGGAGGATATTTTGATGGCAAGGAAGTGCAGGCTTGCCTGGGACCCACTGGTGAATTCCGACCCCCACCACTCTGCAGTGGGTCTGCATGTCAGGTGAGCCACCCTTGTCCCCGCTGCCCCCATCATCTCTGCCCTGGGCATGGGGCACCCCACACAGCCCCCGTGGGTGATGGTCAGAGGGCCTTGGCCCCAAGGGATGGCTGAGCAGATTGCAAAGGGCTGGGAGAGGCAGGTGCACAGAAAGAGCCACCTGCCAAAGTGCCCACATCCCATTCTGGGCTGCTGGGGAAAGACCAGGCCTGTGTGAGTGAGTGCTGGGAGAGCTTTGCCCACCCTGCTCAGGGTCCATGGTTTTGCCCCTGACAGGGAGATGCGCCACCAGTTGACCCCCTCCCATTCCCCACGGGCAATCCACCTGCTTGGGATGCTCAG